TTGCGCAAAACGGGAAAAATTTCCCCTAACCCTCCCCTCTCTTTCCTGCTCAGCCGGGGTCCACGGCATGCATGAACAAAAACAAAATCAAGCTTCCAAGATGTGCCGATGCCTACACCCATATCAAGCGACTTTAAAACAAAGAAAAGATATCAAGCTACTAAATTAGAACCTCGAAAATTTATTTCAAAAGAGTGAAATGATAGGAAACCGCGGAGCCCTTCTTCCACACCGATCCTCACGCTATTCAAATATTCAAATAGCCGACCTTCAGTCTGGCTGCGCATCTGGAACCATTCCAAGAAAGTCTAAGAATGAAACATTTTCAAAGGAGCTGGATGGGTCTCTTCATCACTCATAACTGTCTGTCCAACTGAATACGAGTACACCAGCTACCTTAATACCAACCAAAAAGGCAAAAAAAAAGCATAGACAAAAACTACAGGCAGTGTCCTAAATTCAGAAAATATCGCTAGCGTAAGTTTTCCCAATTCCTGAGCTCGAATTGTCCTGCAGAGAAAGCGCAAGGACCATAATTTCGTAACCACACGTCGCGAAACATGGAATCATCCTCTGTACCAATTGCATTTCAAAGATGCAACGCAATCTCCCTCCAGGAGATATATTTTAAAGTTATCCCGGGGAGCAAAACTAGGCGCGAAGAGGAGCGACTGGCGTGGAACAAGCCCAGCGCTTCATACCCGAAATGCAGAGAGAATGGAGGCCATTAAGCTGCAGGGGATGATGGACCTGACTGAATCCCCCATGAAACACGGCCATACTTATAAAAAAAAATAAGCTTGGGGCCCTTACACCTTGATTCCACCGCTAATGCACGGATGGGAGAGACTCGAAAGATGCGGGGCTGGCATAGCCCAGTTCACGCAGAGAGGGAAGTAACAAACAACCTGGCCCTCCCATGCTCCTTCAACACCTGTGGTTTCAACCTCTCAACCTAGAAATCATAACTGATAGGAAAAAAAGAGCACAGACTGTTTGTTACCGGGGAGACAACGTAATAACGTCGTGCTTAATGAAAGGTTCGACCATAATTGTCGTTACACGAGACACCTCCGTTACGAAGCCCTTCATGAGAATTTATGCATCCTCTTGTCTCCCGAGAAGCACCGCATGGTTTATGAGACCAATCTCTCACGACGTGGGAATTTATTGTCTTGAACGCTCGCATGGGAAAAGATAGTGAGATTTCAGTATATCATTTTTATTCCTCATTTAATAACGTATGCAGGCAGCTTTCAATGAATTACTTCCAATTTCTCTGGAACGAAAATTCTCACACTTCACTTCAGAATTCACAAGATCAGCGGTTTGGTCCTTGCGGGATTTCACGACTTCACGACAAAAGAACAATGGAGTTCTTTCATGAGAGGGGGTCAAAGGAAAGAAAGAATAGAGAAGGAAAAAAAAAGCAGCCGCTGTCCGATGACAAAATGATTTTGGAACTGATATGAATATTCATTCATGATGATTGGCGCTTGTGCGTGCAGGAAATTTTTTTTTACTACCCCCCCCCCCCTCTCTCTCTCTCTCTCTCTCTCTCTCTTTTACCCTATGGGTCGTTCAGGATGGGTAACCACAGAGGAATCAAGGGAATGTCTTGATTCGATGCCTATCCAAGTACTGTACAAGAAAGCGATTCAAGCATCTCGTTTGTATCTCCACGATAGGTCGTCTTCTCACGTTCTGGCAAGGAGACAAACACAAAGGGGCAAGCTAGGGTCTCTTTTGATCACCACTGCTGACTGCTACAAATGGACTACCGGTCCGAGGCTTCCATTGTTCGCGGTCGAGACAGCCACATTCATCAGGACCCCAATGTCATGTGGGTAGGAGAATATCACATACGGTGGCACCGATGACTCTCAAGGTCTCGAGAGGAAGAGGAAGAGGAATGCCGTTAGAGTCCGAGTCCGCTGATGGCCCAAAGGATTGGGTCAGGGCAATTACCGCGTCTGTGGCAGGCTGCCTGACAATTATCCTCCTCATGAAAGGAAAAAATACCCTGCAAGACCAGAGCTCATCTATCATGAGAACTTTTGAACTCGAAAAGACCTTTTTCTACACTATGAAGTAAGTGCGTTCATTGGCAATGAACGCACTCGGGACCGACAAGAACGTCGAGTCATTGCCAATGACCTCATCACAAACGATCACGACATGGAATGATCATCTGCTATGGAACACAGGCACGGAATATCCCACTGCGTGATGCTGTTTCTTCATCCCTAGGTAACTCGAGTAAACTTTGCCTTCGAGGAGGTCGGAGAGTCAAGAGTCTCGGATCGGTGTTTGAGCAGCAACTCCCATGTCAGCAAACAAGGTGTGGAATGGAAGAGTTCGTTTTTATCCTGTAGTGACCAAGTGAGTGAGAGTGACATCAGCCCCGCACGCGTCCCTCCTCGGAGGAAAACTGATGGACGTGACTCACGAGTGGCCGTGTCACGTCCTGGGACAGCATCACCGGAACGTAGGGGTGGAACATGCGCTAACCTACCCCGACCTAGGACTATCCTTGACCAGCCCTTTCCGACTGCGTCATGCATCTAACGAACACACGTCAAGCTGTAATAATAGAATCGGGATGGTTGTTTTTTCACACCTCCCGGCACGTGTGACATCATTCTGCATACATAGTAATCACACGGCGGTTAATATGCCTCCAGCCCTATAGGATGAGTAAAATAAACCCAACCCATCCCCATGATAAGTTATGGGCACTCTGAAGAAGACGTCGTGATGAGCTCGTCCTTGACTTCCTAGCTGAGCTCATGTCACGGGAATGCAGATAGATTTATGACGAGATGTGCGCGACTCCGTAAATCTCAATATGGCATTGTAATGAGGGCAAGATCTGCCAGGCACGAGCTTAAAATGAGGATCCCAGCTGGACATGGGCAGGGCACGGATGAATGAGGGGGAAAATGAAGGACATGGTGAAAGTTCAATTTCACAGCGCCCCTCAGGGATGAACAATCTCGGGGAAATTAGAAGTGCTATATGATGTTTACAATAACCCCGTGGAATGGCCTCGACTGGACCCGGAGGCAGGATAAGATCAATGCTTACGTGTAATATACGCATATATACTGGGGTTAATACGATCACGATGGGTCGCTCGGGAGTTCACGGGGAGCTCAACGAGATGCGAGAGATAGCCGCACAGGTTTTACGGAATCTTTCAACACCCGCGGACCTACCCATCTGAGATATAATAGAGCGACAGGAGATTGAAGAGTTTCATAAAAACCCCTCCCACGTTGTCATTTCAAAAGTGGCATCACCGTTTTATGAGAGACCCTCCCCTGTAACTTGGACCATCCCAAAGATGGGAAAGACTAAACACCATAGAGATGGAACCCAACAGAAAAAGGCAATAACAAAACCTCCACGCCGTATCGTAGCTGCATCTCTTCTTCCACTATTTCTCGAGATAAGAATTGATGGAGCGGAGAGGAGGAGGAATGTTTTGCACTCCTCGCTCGGCGCGTTTGATGGTTTCGAGTCGATGAGCGACCTGGATCTAATGAACAGGAAGGTGCAAAGAACGGTGAGGGAAGGTCCTAACAGGAAGATAGGCTTGGAAAGGTTCTCATCGGATCCGCGGATTGAAGGTCACGGAGGGATTTAACCCCTTAAGCATCTACAGTAGTGCTGCCTTGCAATACAATCCCATCCATCTTCATCTCCACGGCGGAATTAGCTCCATGATCGGGACAAGGAGCGTCCCATGGGATGACCGCATCGGCGCGGGTCACAATGAAACCAATCTCCTAAAATTAGGACGGCAGTTCCCTCCGGGAGAAGAGGGAGAGAGCACGAGACTTGCAACTATCTACGTTGTTCCATCTCTCTCCCTCCAACCCCGTCTATTCCCTTCGGGACTCTTCATTTCGCGTCCTCATTCTCTCGCAACAATGGATGGACGGCGACGGAGTTGATAGAGCCAGCCAACGAACATCTAGAGCATTGTTCTTTCAGAAATGGAGCCAACGGGCTCCAATCCTTCCTTTCTTCCCCTTGTATCAAAGTTTCGCGTTCACACCTTACACTGCCGCTCGAGTGCATCTTAATTCCGCCCGTAACCGAAACAGAAGAAAAAGGTAGGTATCCGGCGGGCAAAGGGGGAGAATCTCTCGATAACGAGCACTTGTGGATCCCTGAAGGCATGACCATCACTATGCGCGAGTACGTCCGTACCTCCCCTCGGTACCCGAGGGGTTCGCGTGCACGGAGACGATTCCCAATTTCAACCTGGGTCATCGGTCTCCCTGGCATTCATCTCCACTTTCTTCCGAAGATCGAATCCATGTCACGGGCAGAGGGAAACAGGTACAGGTCTTGATTTATGTCAATGAGATACAAGAGTGGACGAAAGTGAGACTCCCTGTTCGATTGAATATTCAAGACAAAGAGGACGATACTCTCCGCTCGAGGGACTCTTAAGATTTTTTGTCTAGCAACATTGCACCATCAAGATGTGTGACCACGAAAGCCCGCCAAAGAGAACTTTTCCATTAGAAGCGGAATTAAAGAACAAAAAAAAGGGAAGCCCGATGCCTTACGCCCCAGTCAACATTCGAAGGCTTCCGTTCCCGGCTTTCCTCTCGTCGTGTGCGGTTAAATGATACGCTCTCTGTTGTCACGTTTTCCATTCCGCGTCCCCCTCCACAGACTTCCACCAGGCAATGCATTCTTAGCAGCCCCCGACTCAAGGAAGATGATTAATGGAACGGCATCACACTCGGCATCATGACTCTCTGTTCAACTGATTCATACCGCTTGTTGAACCGAGTAGATCGAGGAAGGAAGGGAGGAATAAGTGGGAAGAAAAAACGGGAACGCGTCGACAACTCTTATTCTACGTGAGAAGTGGAAGACAGTGAAAGGGGGTCGGATCAGAGACGAAAAGTGTGAGGAGAATGCAGGAAAGTGATGGGATAGATGTGTCATGTAAACGCGATGGAAGACGATGAAAGAATTCAGAAGATGATGATGATGATGATGATGACGATGATGACGACGACGACGACGATAATGATGACGATGATCATATCTATCCCTTGTAGGGATGTGCTGACCGGCCATGGCCAATCAAACAAGGAAGCAACGGTCGCGCGGTGGCTCTTCCGGAATTAGCCCAAACCTATCATTACATACGAATTATAGGCCTAACCCTCCCCATGTACAGGACGGAGCAAAAACTGACTTCCACGTCTCATCAGGCTCGCCTGGGAAAGAACGGCATCATCATTATGTATTGGAATCTTTAAAGCGATTTGGCTTCAATTATCTCCAACTAACCAGCAAGAAGCGACCATTGTAGGATTTGCCGTTATAATTTATATGTTCTGTACTATACAAAAAAAAGTAACGAGCAAGGGCGAGAGGAATTTATACCTGCATGGGGTGGCGTGAAAGTAGGAAAAAAAGCCAGCCATATGACCGCGGGGGTCACCAAAAAACATTAGCCGGCATGGGTTGAAGAAAAAAAAAAAAATCCCGCGATTAGCATGGAGATGGATTGAGGAACCTTGACTAATGAATTCATCAGCTCTCGGACTCCATGAACACGGCTCCTGCGTCCTGCATTCTACTTTCGACACAGCCCATGGCTCAGGCATCTTCTCCCCGCGGGATGCTCGCAAAAGACAATCGCGCTCTCACGCCATAAATAACGGTGCCTCCCCCCTCCCTCACGACCAGGGGAGGCAAATGGTGATCAACCTCTAATAACTGACGATAAAAGCATATAATATGTAATGGCATGCATGCCAGGCTCCAGGGGCAGAGACGAGATATAAAATAAAGGGAGACATCCCCACGGCAGGTTAACGAAGGGGATAAAGGAAAAAGCGGCCAAGTCATTTCCATCCAGAAGAGAAGGAAGGTCCGTGAATTGGATATCGGGCTAAGGCCTTTGTCCCTCGAGTCAAGGTCTGGATGATACAGGCCTATTTCCAAGAGGCGTGTCATGTGTGAAAGGGACGCTTCCCGTACTCACATCACGTGCTTCGATCCCTCCTTCCACGTGATTGGAGTGGCACCAGCGCCTCGAGGAATCATACCTTCATTCGATCATTTACCCCGCACTCAAAAAACCATTCTGAAACCATGCCAAATTTTCAGACTATCGATATTCCATGTTTTCTGATTTCACATGCTCACTCATGCGTGATATTTATTCTTGAATCATGGAGAATTCCTCGTGGATACAATAAGCCAATGCGGCTTCATAAACAGTATGAAGACACATCGTCCTTGTAATAAGAACTGAGATTACCCTGAACTAAAATTACCCATGCATCACACTTTCGCTTCCTTGGCGTGCACAAAAAAGGTACTTACAGGTTGCTGTCTGACAGAGTCTTTTATAACTCCTGACTTACCAGTGCGGTAAAAGTGTTATTGCAACAGAATAATCTGGTTACACCGTCGTGGCAGCACGACAGTGATCACGAGTTGGGGCAGCCACGGACACATCACAGGTCCATCCAAGAGGGGGAAATTCGTGACCTTGCTCATCGCATGGTGACTGAATCTCGTGACAGCCCACCTCTTTTCTCTTCCGTCGAGATTGAGAAACTGTGATATAAACAAGGCCATGACGCAAACCACGTCGACAGCAAGCTTCAATAGAAGCTAGGTCTGAAACCAACTTCCATGACCATGGACCGGCTCGACCCTATTGTCTTTTCAATGGTCCTGCACACAGCGGGTTCCACAGATATATCACATCAGCGAGATCTTCCAAAAAAAAAAAAAAACACAAAGAGAAAATGTCCTTAACTCCCCGGAAAAGTCCAATCCTCAGATTGGAGCTGCCTGAAGGTGACTGGCACGCAGTCGATCTGCCTTTGTCAAACATTGACTTTTTCCTCAACGTGGATTCATGGGAAATTTTCAATCAGAACGGATATGCAGCTTTCGAAGAATTGACGTAGATCTGTCATGTTTCCCCATACGTCAACGTAGATACATCGAATCTACGTCGGCATCAGTTACATCAATCCCGACACCCATGGAAAATGTATCGCACGTATGGCACTGAGGGTCAGCCTTGAAAACCTTCTCATATCGGCGCATTTGTGACACGAGAATGTGAAAGGAAAAAGGAGGTTTTCGGCGCAGGAACCACGTAATTGTGCGGCGCCCTCCTCTCGCATGCTCCTTCACACGCTCTCGTCGTTTCGCCCACGCAATCACGCCCGGATACAAACGAGATGCTGAGAGATCTTTCAACTCACGGCAAACGTTGAGCCAGCCTTCCACACGACAGGGGAAGTCGTGGATGGTAGCCTTCCCTTTGTTCATTCCCGATGGAGACGGAAGGGCGAGCGACGACACCGGCGTTGAAATCACGTTGCAATCCCAGATACGAGTTTTCACAGATAACATCACATGGCCCAGGTCAAGGCCTAGGCTATGGAAGCACGTCCACTGTCGGCATGCAAAAGAGAGGCCTTTTTCATTTCAATCGCTGAGTGCATCGAGACGAGGCTCGACAGGGGAGTAACGACGAAAGGCACGTGGTTCACTTCACGACGAGACTCCGCCGAATCGGAAAGCTGCGAGCTGCTGGTCCTATTGGGGGAGAACTGCCGCAGCCGAGACGAGCGGGAGCGAGCGGCGGTAGCTCTGAGGTGCAGCTCACGCGCATGCGCGCTACCTCTCCCGCCCTTCGCCAATATCAGCGCAGGATTTTACCGTCGATTTCCTGTTGACATCCCACGGAGCAACCATAACACTGTATAGGATCGAGATGGTGCGTCGACTGATGATTGCATCAATCGCATTCACGAGAAACCATTCGTCCATCGGCCTGGCCACATTCGAGGAATGAGAGTAGAACAAACAGCATGCCTTCCTCGCATGCTTTCGTGAAAGGCGACCGCTATTGGCATTTGCCCTTGGGACCGGTTCTTCCCAGTCACCTGCGTGTTCTTCGGAACCTTCGCTCCGATACTTCTCTCCCGTCATTACTTTTTATTTCGTAATTGGTGAAATAAAAGGACCATGTAGTGCATATCTCTAGGCAAAGGGATGCGCCTGGAAAGTCAATCGGGATCCGACCTAAGTAGTTGACCCTGGAATTTCTTCTTTTGATCTGTACTCCAGTACGCTGCTTTTAAGTATGAACAAGAGCTTTTGATACAATGGAATTACTCATACTATCCTAGTGTTCTATTTTCTTTCCTCCCTAATTCATTTTTCCGTCTTATAGTATTTCTATTCATCGATTTCCACACCGAGCGTCTTTGCCCGAAACCTTTGCGCAACGAGAATCGGTACCAACAAAAGGGTCGTACTCGGAATCGGCAATTTGGATGTCGAAATGCGAAACTATTGTGGATAGGCTGCATCGGAGAAGAAATAAAATCACCCGACAGCCAAGAAGGACCGGAAAATGGAAAAGCCAGCCAGCTTCAGCTGCGACTGACAGAAAGATGAACGAGAGACCACCGTGTCGGTGGCTCTCTCTCCCGTACGGGTGAAGGACTAGACCCAGGCGGCGACTGCCGCTTCGTGGGACGTCCGCCTGCGGGAGAAGCAGGAGAATCCTTCGACGGGGCAGGCCCGGATGTGCTTACCGCTCCCAACGCCGATCCACGCTTCCTCGTTCTGCCGCTTGCTCCGCGTTCCCTCGATTGCAGGCGGGCGGGGCAGAGCATCCACGAACGGCGAAGGACGCCGCCCAAACGGGTCCGTGCAGTCGGTCGCCGACCATTCCGTGCGGGCTCATCCTCGAGGTAGCATGTATGAGCTGACCTCGCGTGCATCGTCTCTCGAAGGCAGGTTTCACGGATCGCTTCTGTCCGAACAGAACCCCTGCAGTCCCTCATTTCCTCGGTTTCAAGACCGAAGCGTCATGCAAGCGTGATCGACATTCGGTAGAGGGGCTTTTCGCCGTGCTTTCTCATCTGCGCTGATAGCAAGCCGGAGATGAGCAGAATAAAATCTCTCACCTCGCTCCATGAATCTCGAGACAATTACGAAAACCATCTAGAACCCGCTAGAGCATCCGTTAACTGTGGGGGAGGGGGATACTTGAGTTTTTCGTAAGGCGGACACGGTGGTATATCTATCGATCGAGTGCGGCCGTCGACTTTCCGAAAGAAAGATCGGGCTCAAGACCCATTTCGCGCTATAAATTAATTTGTCTCACCAGAGAAGCCTTCCCTTCTAGCATGAAGACGCCTTACCCCCCCGGTGGAGACTCTCGAGCCGACATTCCCCTCGAGAGTAAAACAATCGAATCGATGAGCGTAGCGGTTCCGGTCCACAGATGTCGAGTGTTGACATTCGAGTGCGCATTCCACTCCGCGTCGACGAGGACGGGGAGACTTCCGCGATGGGCAATCTTTTTCATTTCCGAATTTGCGCCCGAATTCGCGGCATCGTCCGAACGTCTCGGAAGGGATGAGGCGATTTCCTGCCGTGTGCGAATCGGCGGCAGTTCGCGGTGCGGAAGGAAACCCTAAGTTGCACTTCTCGATGCGTAATAAGTATGGATTTCGGGGCAGGTACCAGGTGTGCCAAACGACCGAAGGTAGTTCATCCATTAAGGAACGTTCCAGGGGTTCACCTTATGGTACTTTATTCTGCATTCATGGTATTCCGTGCTATGCTATTTCTGCCGTGCTCCCCACGAATACCGTTATGAAGTGCATGCACGCAGCTTCGTGGCCATCCTGGTTTTCCATCAGGACGGCAGTAACTGGGCATTTTTCAAGGTTCTTGCATGCGGAAATTTCGGCACGAGAGCGAATATACGTGATTCATTTGCATGCCTATCGTGGGCGGATCGTGGCTGGATCGTGGCCGGGCAACCTTGAGTTCTACGCAATTATTTCATATTTCTAAGCCGAGATGAACACACGGGTGAACCTTTTAGACTCGCAGAACTTTTCCCCCTTCAAATCGCGTATGCGAACCGGTGCAGAAACGTCTCCACACTTTCGCGTGCTTCGAGGAGCTCCTCGAACGTCGGGAAATGAGCCAAAGTCGAACCCCGAAACATTAAACCAGCGGCTGGACTCCGCCCGATCGTCGGAGGGAATCCTGGAACCCTCGCGAGCGAAACTTAAGTCCCCGAACCTCTGCGGTGCTCGGAACGGGAAGATTTCGGTCAGACACTCGCTCGGAGCGCGAAGGGCCTCGAGAGCATCGAAAGCATCGAGAGCACGGAGGGCATCGAGAGCATCGAGGGCATCGAGAGCACGGAGGGCATCGAGGTCTGCTTCTCCGGAATCCCGGCCAAGAAATCGCTGCCTTCCAGGAAATTGCGGCGAGAAGCATCCGGGAAGCTCGGAGGCTTCCCGCCGCACGGACCCACGGCCCTCCCGAGAACTGACGTCGCGGGGGGAAAGGACAGCGTTTCCGCACTTTTCCAACCCCCAAATCTCGCTAAGAATAAAATCGTGCGCCGCGACCATCGAGTAGAGGCTTGAGGATCACATCGATTTCCAAAGCAGCAGAGGTGAAAGAGTTTCGGAAAATCTCTTAGTAGATGGATCGGCCATCTACATGTTTATCAGTTTTTTTTTTTTTACGAAAGAGTTTTTTTTAATTATCATTTGTAGCCTCGTTAAACAGTACTTCGCATCCACACACGTAATTATGATGTTCCTGCTCATTTGTCAGACGGAAAGCGGTCGAACCCAAACGGTGCCCAATTAACACAGTATTTCAGACCAATATTGGTCCAACGTAGGATCGATATTGCCCCAATATACTGTGCTATAGGGGTAATTGCAACATGAGAAATTTGAATCCGACGGGAAAATATAGAGTGGGCAGGGGGGAGGGGAAGGGGGGGGAGGGGGAAGGGGGGGGGAGGGATAGAATTACTCTAAAACTTCTTCCGTCGTTGATTCAAAGCAATCTACCACCCTTGTCTTTGAGACAAGTCGAGGAGAAACTTTTTATGTCTTTCCTGGAGTAGCATGCATTTGCTTCTCTTTTTTTCTTTCTTTTTCTTTTTTTTTTTTTTTTGCCTGCCTGTTGCTGCCGACTCGGCAAGTTTTCGAGATCCTCAGCCTCGGTGATACCCGGCGTTTTCTCTGGATTTCGTACGATTTCCAACACGCTTTTCGAACGCGACTGCACGCAAATGGCAGTCGACATTCCGCTCGAGCGCGATTCCGGCTGATTCCGGCTGATTCCGGCCCCTGGACAGGCGAGAAGCGACCGGAGTTCCGGCATGCGAAAGCCGGACCGCCGTGGGCTCGGAACGCAAGGCATTCGAAGAAACGCGATTCGGGCGCGGGAATGCCTCTTCCCGCGTCCGAAAGGAAAGTATCTCACCGTTCCCCCTCGGAAGCGAGAGAGAGAGAGAGAGAGAGAGAGACAGAGGCGGAATGCCGCCACTGGAATCTCGAGGTCGTCGCGGAACGAGCCCCCTTCGATGCTCAGGGCGTGGAAGGATGATCGCGACGATCGCGGGCATCCGCCTCCGGATTCCATTCCTTTTCGTTCGAAATCAGAGAACCGCGTTCGAAATCCGTGCCGCAGATTGGCGGATCTCATGCGGCAGGGCACAGGACGCTCTGGTCACTTTGTGGACCGTCCAGTCGAGAGCATCAGAGTTTCGGTAACCCGTTTCTGAGAAGGACGGCAACGCGAACGTATCACGAGGCGTTCGAGTTCCAAATTCTCGAATGGCAGTTCGGCTATGCGTTTCCGATCCGGAACGGGGGCAAGCAACCTACGCGGATCTCGACGCAGATGATGCACAGACGACGACCGCTCAGTCGTGCTACGGTTCAAACTCGTAAATCCCTGGGGATCCAATTTCGATGCATTTGCCACCAGATTTAACGATCGCACTCGGCTTGCATGCGGAATTTCGGAACTTTCAGCCGAACTTAGGCAACAGACAGGGAGATATTTCGTTCTTCGTCGCATCCATCGGAGAGATACCGAAGATCCATCACAATAGAATGAGTTGTCCAGAAATTCTTGAAGCTCACCTTCGGATCTTGAAAAAGCGTAAATTCCCGTTCTACAGCAAAAAAAGTTCCTTGGAGCAACAGGCAGGACTTAGACGGCACGATTAGATTAGATTAGGGGTCAGTATCGGCAAAATACAGTGAATCATCCGCCGTCGTAACGAGAACTGACTGGAACGAATCACAGGACGTTGTACCGAGGCTCGCACGAACTAGTCGAGTCGTTCCTGATTGGTGGATCCTCGCGTCGCGGTCGAGGTCGTTCCTGATTGGTGGATCCTCGCGTCGCGGTCGAGGTCGTTCCTGATTGGTGGATCCTCGCGTCGCGGTCGAGGTCGGAGGAGCCTCCACGTCGGGTGGATGGCTTCCGCAGACGCTTAAGGGATTGCGGGTGATGCTGTCGATGGCGAAGTACGTTATGCATTCCCGGCCGTCTTCTCAAGAATGGGTTCTCAAAACTCCTTATTGCTTCAGGCATGAAAGGGCAGTGAAATCTCAAGTGTTTATTTCGGGTATTTGTCTGTGCGTGTTCACAGGAGTCACATACTTGCCTCGGGTGATAGGAAGAACTTGGGGGGAGGGGCGTCGGCTCTTGCGATTCATGTTCGTCCGGCTTTAAATCGTTACGCCCACCCCCCAACACGTCGGTCATCGAAGTCAACATTGAAAGTGCGGACGAGTTGATTCTGGCAGATCGTCGCATTTCAGTCGATCCATTGGAGCATCATATTGGTCCTTGTGAACGTTTTGCAGCCGTTTGTGACGTCATCTTCAGCCGCAACCAAAATATGTCGCGATCCGCTGCTCTCTCGTGGGGTCCGAGGCCATCTTTGTTTACTTCCGCTTTAGCAGGGTTTGCCAATCTGCGAAATTTATGAAATGTCGTGCAGGCTTGCCATAATCCTAAAATAGCAAAATGCGGAATTCGCGCGCAAGCGTTCTAAGCGCGAAAGGAAAGTCCACGAACTTTTCCAATTGCAGAAAAGTTTTCTAAAAAGGAGAAAACCTCGCGGATTTCATGCAGCCAGATCGACCGTCACTTTCGGGAATCTTTTTCGGCGATCGATTTCTCGTTTACGAAATCCCGAATGCGGCTCGCGTGGAGATCGGAAGGAGCCTCGGCCTTCGGCGGTTCTCGATTCTGGCCTTCAAGGACATGCCGTGGCGCGAAAAAAAGTTGGACCGTCTCTTGCCCTTTGGCAACGGTCTCGCGAATCTTTCTGAATGCTCCTGCCGTTTTTGTGCGCCGTGTCCTGAAGGACTTTCTGTCGCACGGACTTCAGTAGTCGATCTTCCATTTTCTGGATCTCGCATCACAAAATACTCGAGCCAGTCAAACGGAAGCAGCAATTAGTTTGTATTAGTTATGCATGCAGCGTTTATTGAAAATACTGTCCACGGACATCGAGACGCTTGTCCCTCCGCTCGACCAGATTTTTCCCCGGCGCCAAAACGACATCGGCACCATGCTCTTCGATCGTCCGAGTGGGATCGCCGGTCCCATCGACCTTTATGGGGCCGCGTGAGGGAAAATCACGTGATCCGACCAAAAAGGTTTTTGAGCGGTGCAAAACGTTCGCGAATGGTGGCGTCCGCCGCGAGACATTTTGCCCCGTTCGCGAACCATCGTCGGACGTGCCCCCCCGTAAACGGCAACCGTTCTGCGATGGATAATCAAATGGCTTCACACCTGGTTAGTTCCTCGCCTGTGCTAAACTTAAATCTAAATCTAAAAGCAGTCTAAAAGCAAAAAGTCTATTCTTCGCCCTGATCCTTTAGACTAAGATTTAGATTTAGATTTAGATTTAGATTTAAGTTTAGTAGAGGCGAGGAACGGGAGACGGAAATCGGCCATCTGATGCTTCATGGACGTCTTTTCGGCGGAGGTAATTTAATTAAGTTGAAAGCGCGGTTAATAAAGTTAATAGAAGGATAAGAACGCACGCAATCTTCCGCAAGCAGTGATGCTAATTACATTTCAACGCTTATTCCGGTGTACCTAAAACATATACAAATATATCAGATTCCATGGAGATTCGTACTCTTTTAAATGTGAATTTTGCTTTTTTCAGTTTTTTTTTTCGTTTTTCAGCCCTCAATATGAACAAAAATGCTCGAGTTCACCGAGAAGATGGCAAAAATAATCCTTCCACGCGCTGACGACCATCGCATTTGCCTAAGACTAGTCTGCAAAGCCGAGTTGCAAATGTTCCGTCTACTCTCAATTTTGTTCTGAATTGCAGGGAAACGTGCCAAAAATGAATACTAATAAAAAAAAAGAGTACAGAGTCCATGACGGTTCCTGGAATCATGCACAATGCGACTGGGGAGAAAAGGCAATTCTTCGATCTGAATTTTTTTCTTCTGAATGATGGGTCTGTCACCGATTTTCGGAAGGATCTCGTCTTTCGCGAGATCGGCGCGAGATGAGCCCGTTTTATTCGAATTGGAGGCGGGGCGATTTTTTTTTTTCCCTAATCCACGTTTGCCTTCTCAGCTGACAGGATCCACTTCCGGTCGCTCTGTGCATATATTGGGTCGTTGCAAAAATGTCTCTCGTGGGAAATGGCATTGACGTCACCGATGGGAAACTTCGGGAAAGCAATCGTTTATTTTCTCCGTCAAGGATAGAAAAGAAATCTGCAAAAGATTTCTAAATCGAGGTACAACAATGCTAGTGCATGAGTTTATTCCATGTACGGTGTCCTGCATTTACATTTTTTCCCCCCCTCGGTTAAGCCTGCAAAGAATTGACGAGGCATGCGTTTTTCCCCCCATAGATCATTCCATTAGATTGGTGGTGCACAACCTTTTCCCCATAGAGGGCCAAATTGAGACTTCGGCTCATGTTTGAGGCGTTCGAGGGCCGCAGGCCCTCGAAAATGAGCCGAAATAGGCCGAACATAAATGTGGATCTTTAGAGACCGGAGGCATAAAAAAAAAGTCTCCGCGGGCTGCGGGTTGTGCATCACTGCTTTAGATAGTGAGGGGCTGTGTGTATGAGTAACAAGGCAATTGAAACTGAAAATGGCACACGACGACGAATGAATCTAATCGATGATGGCTGGAGAACGTGCTACTAAAAATGACGATGGATGTTCATCACTATCTCAAAACGTCATTTTCCCACTTTTTCACTTTTTCCGCAGAGCACAATTGATCATTAGAAGTTTCTCATAAACCTATTTCCCGTGAAAAGAGCTTTCTTGACTTAAAGCATGAACTCTGGGGATCAACAAAACGTTCCCCTCTGTAATTAGATCGGGATATAATTTGGATTCCTTCGCTGCCATCCGTACACGAGGAAACTTTTGTCGGCTCTTGGTAAAGGCAGCTTCCATGAAATAGAAAAGTGATTGTAATCTTCGACGATATGGACTGCCTTAGGCCTTGTTTAAGAAATTCTCGAACATGGTGAATCTCATTAAACTTTTCATGCTCTCTGCAGAATGCTTTAGAAGTAATCTACAGGGTGGCCCATAAGTCCCAATCGGTTATAATTACAGAGAAAATACCAAAAAAGTAAAAAATTTGTAACAAGTTAAGTACGAAATACAACCATCTCGACGAATACTTTCCCTCATTATAGACTACGTCAGTGTGAGCTCCATTATGAGTAACATGAAGTTCTATGCGACGTTCGCTCAACGTTTCAGGGGTAATCTTTGTAAACGCGTTGTGGATGGCTGCTCTCAATTATTCCACATTTTCACATCTTGCTCCTTTACAAACGACAACCTTACGAATGACTTACTGACATTTCTTAAGGTAAGGAAGGGCAGTAAAGCACATGCGCATTGGAACCATTCGTCTCAACGCCTAGGCGGATTTCCCCCCCCCCCCAAATTTTTATCATAACCGATTGGGACTTATGGGCCACCCTGTACAGTTAACTACTGACCAATAGCATTCTCCTTTCTCCGTCCTCGTGCAAACCAGACGTTTGAAACCTTGGACATTTTCTTCACACCGTCTGGAGGATCTTGGTGTCTGACGCATTCCTCCCAAGGGAAATTCAACGACTCCCAACTTCGCGAGGCAAAAGCCAATTTTTATTCCTGTGACAGAACACATGGCAAGGTGAACTGTGACTCCAGCATGGTCCAATGATTCCGTACGAGAAAATCAGTCATGGTGGGATGCCAAACGGAAGATATCCTCCAAATAGCTATTCAATTGCATTACAACATAACTAGATGAGAACTTGAAAAGCTAAATTCCATTGACTGAGGGATCACTGAGAGTAGGAGAGTCTAATCCGAGCTCACATAACCTTCAACACAAATTTTTGTGAATCGTACAAGATCAATATTGTACGCTGTGCTCTCAAAGCAACGACCAAAAAAATGCCATGGTCAGCTAAATATTCTAACACGACTAGTTACGCAACACAGGCATGCACATTTGTCAGCAAAATAAAATGTTTTCTTTTTGAACTATATTTTATTTGAGAACTGAAATGCAAACTTCATGAAGTTTAAAGTCGTACCTACGGCTGGTATTAAAAAACAAATTTTTGATTGTCTGTATTCTGTATGATATGAAGGAAATTCGGCGAGGACAGAAACATTATTAAGTATTGGGTACAATGCTAAATTCATCAAATGAGTGCTTGATGCCCTATTCTTCTCACTGACATGAGGCAAAATCACCGAAATCAGCTGAGGGAGTTGGCCTCTCACAACATCAATGGCGGCTACTTGCTCTGCAACTGGACACTGGTATTCACAGGCAGGAAGTGGGAGTATTGTTCAACACAAGTTCAACACGGGCAGGTCATTGATGAATTCAGCAATGCATCTTTAGTAAACCTATTCTTTTTACCCCTCCTGCTCCTCAATATCATGTGGCATTCACACTGATGGGAGGAATTCGTTCAGCACTGGAGAAGTTGAAAAAAATTTGGAAAATTGCATGATAGGTGCCTAAAGATTCTGTTCTCAAAACTCTTTAGTTTTGAATGAAGGTACAGGCATCTGTAATTCGAATTGGCACCAGTTGAGCACAGTAAAGAGTTTAATTGAGGATTTAAAAAACATACCAAGATGAGGTTATTGAACTTCAGAGCCATTGTACAAAATGTTACTTTTCATCTGAAGGAAAATATGCACAAGCATGGAAGCTATCCACCATCACAGTCCTCTCTTCAAGTTTCTGTTCAGCTACAGAAGTAGAGTAATGCATAATCTTTTCACTCAGTATAACCAAATCAGCAATGAACCCGTTTTAGAGTTCTTCAACTTCAACAAGCTCAACAAAGGAAATCTCTTTCTTTTATACAAGTACCTAACTGATGCAACATAGAATGCGAACATCTGACACAAACAACTCATGTCAGATGATACTACCCTCATTACCTGGCACAAATGCATGGTATGATCAAGTCCAGTATTCTTAAGAATCAGGGGAGATTCAAAGACCACGAAAGGTATGAGAAGATCCACAGTTGAAAAGTATAAAAAAATATACAAGCACTGCACAGGGGAATTTTTCTTTTCCAGGAAGTTCATGTATCCACTTGACGCCAAGCATTCCACCTCTATTCTCCTCACTTGATCGCAGACTATGTATTTGTAAATCTGAATATCAATTGTGTGAAGGGAGGAACAGAAAAAGAAACCTGATTCACTGGTTTCGAATGCCTCATACATCACAGAAGTACAGTAATGCCTCAGAAGTTGTTGAGACTAAAATTAGCTGGACCCTTGGCTGACATGGATCTCTTGTCTCAGTGAAGATGGCACAATGGGTATGCATGAAAACCAGCTAGATAGGATGTAGTTTAAGGAGAATGGGAGTTTTCAAAGAGAATTGGATAGATAATCTTAAAAGATCTTCACAAATGTCATCCATATATGAGCTCATCCCTCATTTGTATGATTTTGGGAACAATGATAAATCAATATTCTCCTAGCAGCCAGAAATGGAACAGTTAATTCACCCAACCCACTTCACAAAGAAGAGTCATACATTTCATCCTGAATATGGCAACAATTATGGCAAGTCTCAAGGACACCTATTCAATGACCAGTTTCGCTAGAACAGGCATGCATATTGTATGATTGTCAAATACATAAATATGCATGAGGGATGAGGGATCTCAGTTTGACTCCAAAAGACTCAAAAGTCAAACCAATACTTGGTGAAAATATTGAATTACAGCAAAGGTGAACACAGTATCAACGTCTACAGTGTAATCCTACACATCAGTGTATTCTGCAGGTGCAGGTAGGGTACTCAGTTCTTAGACTACAATGACATTGGATCCAGGGAATATTGCATTGCATATAGTACAATGAAATCAAATAAGAATTCAATGAAAAAGGAAAGCATAAAAAATATAAGGGTAATAATTATTAACCTCCAGTTGTACCAAGAGTGCATGTAATTGGAGCATTGAGATCCCCTTACCATGAGAAAATCCCTTGACATGGTCATAGGGCATAAAAAGGCCCTTTCTCATTAACTGGAAGTGACTAAGACAGAGCTCCCAAATCATGAGAACAAATGAGCTGGCAAAAGCTATTTACAGTTCGTATGCACAGAAGCACATTCATAAGCAACAGGTGATGTGATGGGATGCAATCCCCCAGAATTAGGAAGGGGATCAAGCATGTGAAAAACAATTGAGTCTTGAGATTCTGAGGTTAGAGAATAGATATACATATATGGTAAGAAACTCAGGAAAGGTGGTGTACTACTAAAATGGTAATGGTGAATCAAGATGAGAAAAAACCACAAACTTAACATGGTGAAATATTTATAAAATCTGGTGAGATTCTGGGTATCTGAACAACAACCTGAATTCAAAAAACTATCAGTGAGATTGATTTCGCAAAATGCAGAAAGCTAAGACTGTGAGACATGTTTGTGGCTAACACTACTCACAAAAGATGTGCATGAAACAATAGTCTGACAGCAGTGTGTGGAACAGTCCCTCACTAGATAAGTCTAAACTCCAGATGCACTCTTCATTTGATTACTGAAGGAAAATCAAGATGGTTTACATAAATGCTGGCAAACGCAAGTGCAGTACAAACCTACACATATTAGGGGTTCTCTGGACTCTCACAATGCCAAAAATACATGTCAAAGATGTGGTGAATGAAGAAGGGTTCCCATGGTAAGCGTATCATGAATGGGGAGACACAACAGAACGTCAAAATGAAGCAATAGAGGTTTTTCTGCCAGTGATGCAAGCAGTCCTGTGTAGAACACAATACAAAACTGGAAATGCAGCTCAGCAGAAGTCATTCTCATGTAGAAGCAGAAGGCAATATGTGCAGGTGGAACTAGGGATGCCTCAGGTTCTCTTGAAGTTCCCTCTACCAACACCTACATAAACACATCAAAGACAGAATTATAAATAAACTTGACAGCATCAAGATTCTGAAACTTAGAGTGAGATTATCTGTTAGGTTTATGCATGTACATTATTATATGTTTGCCTTGTGCAACAGCCAGATATAAGATTGCTTTTGGAAGGTAGCTTATTTCTTCAGTCCTCAAGGGTAATATCACTAGATGCTTTTATGAATTGGCCAAAAAAGAAAATACAACCTCTGGATAGTATACAAGTAAAAAAATAACAAATGAGAAAGAAAAATTGATGGTGTATGAGTACTTACCAGTGAAACTTGAGCAAGAGTGAGCAACTGACAGATGACAGCATTTAGAAGGAGGATGTGAATGAGCAGGAAAAGAGCACAAGATGGAGTTCAGGAGTATATGAAGTTCAGAAACAATCAACAAGTTCAAGGCAGTATGTGTCCCTCTTTCTCTACTTGAGAAAGTGAGTGAGAACATCCACAGGGATTGGGAATATGATTGTAGAATTCTTCTCTGCCGAGATGGTATTCAATGTCTGCAGATATCTCAGCTGTGAGGATAAAAAAAGGAACTCATCTGCATGCTGCTGGTTCCATAGGGATAGGAATGAAACATTCAGATCAAGTGCAATAGCCATCCAAGTTCATAAATGCCACCTCCCATGGGAAAACAACCCCCAGCCTGAACACACATGGGTTAATTAGGGGACCTCTGGCAGTTTCCCAACTTCTACCTCATACCTCAATATGGTGGTTACCAGCACCACAATACCTTACCAGGGAAGGAAAAATGCCATAAAGCAAAAAAACTTGGCAACATTGATCAGAGCTAAAAAACATAGTACCCCTGTAGCATGGATGAACCCAGGTGATGTTTTACCTCCAAGTACTACCCTTTTTTTATTTGCAGCACACATAAGGACACTTACATTTTCTGTAGCAAACTAAGCCATTAACTTTCAACGAGACTCTTGTGCTTGCTTAGGTGAATTTGATACGAGGCAGGATTGTTTATAGTGCAACTTTCAGCTCATTTTCCACTGAGAGAAGGCATTTGCTCTTGTTGTTCTTGACTCATCGAAAAGTCAGACTGAGTTGAAAAGTCAAAGCTGACTAAGTCGAAAAGCTCAACTTGCATAAGTAGGACGGAGCAAATGGCAGTAACACTGATACGGCAAGAGAGCCAATAACAGGACATTCCTTTTTCCACAAGCACCCACAAATTATCCAATGCCAAATCCCTGTGTTTCATCAATGTGCAGTCTGCACATGTCTCAGTGAGCTCTTCTTGTGCCCTCACTAGTAAATTGCCTGCCAACTGAACAGACACTGGCAAGAATAGGTTTCTCTTCCAATTGAGTCCCACTATTTGCAGCAATGGAAAATGTCTGAACCATCCTTCAAGGGTGTTTCTTTGACAGCTGAAGTAAATCCAAAAGGAGAGATGATGTTGATCCTGGCATTAGGAAGATCAGAGTCTGTATTAAAACACATTCAGTTTTTTCGTCAACTATCAAATTTCATGGCACACCTAAGCCTTACTCATGGCACACCAATGTGCTGCAGCACCTTGGTTGGGAACTACTGCCATAGACACATGGCATTTTCTCCCTTTATCTATGGGATGATACCTGCTTAGCTGCTAAAAGGATTCTTATGCATTCTTAAATCAAGTTTCCATGACCCAGGAGACTTCTTCCACTGTCATCCTCACTGCTTCCCTCATCTTAAACTTCACAACCTCAGAGCTCACCTGTCATATTGTTTACCAATCCAGTTCTAGCTTTCTTTACCAGCACCTACATGTTAATTCTATTGCCCATTAGGTCAACTTTAGCCATAATTTAACTAGTACACTGCATGGAATACTTTTCTTGAGACATGTGGGGCATATGATCCACAATGATTGAAGCTCCTTGAATCACTATTCCAACTGTCCTCGTCATTCCACTCATACATCAGCAGATGACACTCTGAAGTGTCATTGGATTGCCAACTCACAAGAATCAGCACAGAGCATAATGCATCTGAAGCAACCACTATCACACCAAGACAGAACCACTTGGAGCACAATGGCCAAGATAGACTTCACTTGATGTATTACTGACATCAAAGGTGATCAAGGTTTGGGAATAGGGTAGTTTAGCTGGTTCCAGCAGAGCTGAGAAAGTTTACAGTACACATATACATTAACACAATAGCAAATATGGCATATTCAGATGGTCCATTTGCTACCTGTCATTAGGGGTTTTTGCAATTTCCAATTCTGAATGTTAAGGGTGGCATATGGTACATAGGGCCTATTTCAAATTTCTTGTCATATTAAGTATGTTTGCAGTCAAGGGAGATTTTGTGGTGGAAGAAGGAACTCCTTCTCCTTGTCTCCTTCACTGGAGACAAATGACACAAAGAGGAGTTGGTGCTCAGTTCACCTATGCATTAATTTGCATTGGATGGCCTTAGGCCTGGGGATAAGCAAGAAGGAACTGTACCATCCATATAACTGATTCCACTTAAAACTTCCTCGAGGTGGGATAACTTTGCAAAGATTTAGCTTTTTGCAACAAAGAGAGATACATAGGATTTACAACTAAACAAGGTAGCCATCAAGCCTGGTCAAATTAATTTTTTCCTTTCTATTCCTTGACTGCCACATATAAATGATTACTCTCAATAGGAAAATACAGATAATTCAATGAGAATTTCATTGACACATCCCTGTTGATTGTAGCTTTATCTTTATGCACAAAATAATAAAGATATAAGTAGTCAAGTTTGAAAAGTTTTAACTGAATTTTCTGCAAATTTATGTGCTGGTTCTGATAATTACTATGGTGAGAAAGCAACAAGGGACATTGGAATTATGGAATGTGTCTTCTGCATTACTCCAAAAGCTGCTTTCTTCAATAAATAAATCTGCTAATCATAGCACATTGGTAATGAGTATGAATGAGAAGTCGAAGTTGTAAATGAAATGGGTTTAGGTCCATATCTGGAGCTGATAACATGATGGCCATTGGATGGATTTATATGCCACTCAGACTTTATCCAAAGCCTGCAGAAGCAGATAAAAATTTTCCTGGCCTCATAGAGAGGTCTAAATAAATATACTCAAACACACATCATACCCATAGATGAAGAAAATACATTATTTTCAATGAAAGGGTGCAATTTCTATCATGGTCTGAAGATTACCATAGGTATTGGACTGCATACCTGAAGTGCAGCAGGGCTCTCAGCAATGACTTCAGCAGCTTCTTTCAGGGCCCTTGAAGCCTTGTGCTCTCCTTCAGCTGCTATCACCTTGGCTCTAGCTTCCCTGGCAGCTTCAGCTTCAGCTGCCATGGCACGTTGCAATTGCACTGGGAGTCTAACATCTTTTCTGAAGGGAGGTAAGATCAAAGAGAGTCTCAAATGATTTTCAGCTACTTTCAGACAACATCGAAGTAGTCAGGCACAGAAGAGGTACCAGTTATAGTACAGGCTAAGTGGACTCACATTTCAACTCTCTCCACTTTCACACCCCAAGGATCAGTGGCCTCATCCAAAGATGCTTGCATTGTATGTGAGATGGTTTCCCTCTCAGCCAAGATTTCACTGAGGTTCTTTGTACCCAACACATTCCGAAGAGTTGTTGCAGCAAGCAGTCGAGTTGAATGGCTTCCCAGAGACAGAGGCAAAATTACACATCAGTTGAAGCTTTTGTCAATCTTTCAGCTAACATAATTGATAGTCACAGCTGACTCATAGATATAAAAAGCTACCAGTACTGACCACTATCAAAATGAGGAATTTATCACACACAGGCCTACATGTATAGACATTCCATGAATTTTGTATGCTGCTTCTACTGTTAAACTTTAGAAGTGGTTGCATGAGCATTAAACTTCTGAGGAGCAGCAATGTATATATACATCAGAACTTGCTAATTTCTTTAAAATCCAATAATCAAAAATTATTCATTAGAATTTGGTGTCATATAAAGGACACTAAATCATGTGGTCCATACAATGGAGATGGGTCAGAGTGTAAGGAGAAGAGAAATGAACGGATGGAAGAGGCACTGAAGCAGTGAATATGCCATATCAGGTCCCCCATCTCTTGCTCCTTCCCATTCCACAGTTCTATTATCAGAGAACCATACCACACATCTTTGGTAGGGGGAAACTTCTTCCCCATGGAAAGAATCTTCTCTTATCTACACACTTCAGTGGCAATTTCCCCCCCCCCCCCCCCAGAAAAATCCTTTCCAGCTAGCTACTCATATCAGTTTCACAGACATTTGCAAAAGCTACTGTCATCGTAGCCTGACACAGTATCATGGAAGAAATTCCTTTTCGTAGGTCTTGAGGTAAACCCTCAACATTTAACAATAGATACACACATTTCAAATACTACTACAGGAACACTGTCAGGCATGTAATCAACACAGGAAATCTTCATTAAAGATACTTAATCACAGATGAGAAAATAACATGAATGTGTGAGAATACAGTATAAGCATGAACAGCTTCTACCACGTTGGCGGACAAGGCAGCCATAGCCGTCATCTTGTATGCCTTTGTAGGACAAGACGGCAATAGTTGTCCATGCATCTGATAGTACTATATCAGTGGGAACACGTGAGGGACGTAACTGACTAGGAAGTAGAATGTTATCACGGTTGAGCCCACTTGATATATCTATACAAGCAGTGCGTTTTTAGGATCTCAAGCCAAAATCCAGGTGTCTGCCAACGTATTAAATATATTATGGAGTCTGAAGTAGAAGTAGAATGAAAATGAAAATAAGGCATGTTACTGGTCACAGGTGAAATGTTATCCTATATTATTAATCAAGGGCAAGGCGATTCCTGTGTCTTTCTTGGTGATAAAGCAGTGAATGCATCTCTGAAGATCATCTTTAAAAAGTAGAAGTGGAGGTATGATGCGTGATCAATTAATAAAAATCCCAATTTCTGTGTATACAACCCAAATTTGTTCTTGCGCAAAATCTCTTATATCAGGAGGAAAGTATTTGAGTTTCTTCACTTTCCGAAGCGAATGCCATTAACATTTACGCATGTATACCTCCCCCACACTAGTTTCCAGATGCCTTATCCATTACATGCAGTGTCAGAGATCGGCGCCATCGTAATACACCACTGAGCACCTTTTTGTCCGACTGAAAACCTTGGCCACAAAGGTTTCTTCGGGGGGTTATGGTCACTGGGAGCCAAATCCAGATTTTACAACAAATGCTTCACCATCCCCCAACCAAATGACGTCAATGTATTTTGTGCGACAGCTGCCATGAGTCAGTCCACCACCGTCCAGAAATAGCTCTCATCGACAATAACTTGTTTTGCCTACTGAAGGAACACCTATTTGGCTGTGTTTTTCAGACGGACAAAGAGGTGCATAAGGTTGTAAGATAATGGTTTCGATTTCAAGACACACCTCAATTTACTGATAAGGCATCTGTAAACTTGGGTCACAGAGGAATAAATGCGTCGATGTTATGGCACTGATTTTGAAAAACAAAGAAACTCAAATACCTCCTTACTTCTACAACAGACTTCGCTCAGCAATACATTTGGGTTGCATGCACAGGAATTGACTTTACGTATTGAGCACACCTCGAGATCATGCATCTGGACAGCAAAGCAGAAAATAGAGACATTCATGAAACCTGTATGAGCCAAGGGCCTGGAGCTAGTATACGAAGCATAGAGGCATTACCTTCATTAATAGATTTATCAGGGAGAAATGGAATAGGCCGCCCATATAACATTGCAGCTACAGGAAGAGTAAAGAGCCCCTAGGTAGAGCTAGATAAATATTTACGAAGTGGGACGAGTCACGACCTCTAGCATGCTCATCCAGAATGCTCATCCGTGATCTATATGAACTTACATTCATGGAACTTCACATGAACTTCCAAACCAAAACGGAAAAAAAATAGACTTAATAAAGGTTGAATGCAGCAAGAGTTGACTAGCAAAGAGGTAGGAGTCACCTCTCTTTCCTTCCTCTTTACGCTTCAAGGAAATTAATCTGTTGGATAAGTGGAATATATCTGGGAATTAAATCCCTACTTAGCAAGACAAGATTGAAATAGAAAGTCCGGTTGGAACGAGATGAGACTTGAGCCCACATTGGATTCCATAAATCCAACTCAATCCAAAGGAAGTCATGGCAAAGGTGACACAAACCGTAGAAATCCCCTCAGAAATGGCAAAAGTGTCTCATTTGTGGAGCAAGAAAGAAGCCTATGAGCATGCTGGAAACGCCAGGTCGCTGGAGCTGAAAAGTTCGAAAGGAGAAAGTGCAAGGATGAAGTGAGTCTATGAATGCATACTGTAGAGCATAGTCACTTTGACATTCCCATCATATGGACCACAAGTTTCGGTGCCCACTAATGATTTCCCTACTGGCTCTTCATTAGAATTTGACAAACAAGAAAACAAAGAGTATGAATTATATGACCGAAGTTCCATAACACGAAGAAGGGTACACCGAGTAGACTAGATAATCTACCTTCCATGCTGGCGGTGGGAGGGCTTAATTTATCGATCACATCATGCAGACTAATCTTAGCAACGTCCAGAGTTGGCATGCACGTTCCATGGAACTGATGGGTCGTATGGAACCATTCCCCAACCATCAGGACAAGACCATCTGGGGGAACATCCACTAGCACGTTCACACAAGTCCTCCGGCATGGAAAGGGGCAAGTAAACATGGTAAATATATATATCTACAAGAGTCTAGAGACTTGGGATGCCTCATCTCATAGCTAACGCGTGCCCAACTCACCAGTACGTGTACCACGGGTGAGCACCGGTATTAGGTTATAAATGTAACGACGACTTATCCTTTGTTTCGATGACAACTCGCGCATTATTAGATAAAAAAGCTGCAATAGTGATGAGATTAAAGTACCTGTAATCAGTGATATTAGCCACGGCCATGGTTGGATTGTTGACCCGGTAGTAAACGACGGCATCCACGCTCACCGTTACGCTATCCCTGGATAAAACCTAGAATCAAGGGGTGCCGGGTTTACATAAATGGAACCGAGGAAAGAAATGAACCGATATTCATCACTTCAGAACTATGCACAGAACACAAAGAGGGTAATTAGGAAGACGGGTAGAAAACAAGGAGGAAGAGGTAACAGCTGCAGGATAAGAATATCCGAGAGACTAAGGCACCGTAATGAGTTGGAATTCCAGGAGGGACGAGACCCCGCGTTCCATCTTTTCCCATCTCTCCTCTAATCGATGAGTGCAATGAAGAGGGAGCCAAGGATACGAGCCGAATTGACGGCCTCGCCTCGTCTCAACCGTTCTCGCTCCCTCCATCTCCTCCGTTGCAACGGAACACATAATTCTTATCAACCTCATCCGTGCCGCGTCTCAACCCATAACCTAACATTTCCTATCGCCTGATCGATAATTCCACGATATGCAAATGTTCCGGGACGAGTCTATCCCATTTCTGCTTCATGCTTCCGATCCCAAGAGTGCCAGGTCTAATCACGTGGAACTGATGAACTTCATCCCTGCCGAGCCGAACGAATCCATATAAATGTATCTACTCTCTGGGAATGGGTCACGGGCCATCTTTCACGAAGCAAATCCTTGTTGATTGTTTCTGACGTAATTGAGTTCCTCTCTCTCTTATCGATAAGCCCATTCCGGCAGGGCCATGGAGGGATCCTCGAAAGAAAGGAACTTTTATGTGGGCTCGACAGGATGAGAGAGGACTGGATGAACGAGTGACAGGGTGAGGGGACATACAAGGCGGAAAAACACATGATCCCTCTAAAAGGATAAATGTCAAGCAAACCTAAATGCAATATTCTAATAATAAAAAATCAGAGAAACAAAAATGGTCAAGAGTTCGTGCTTAAACCTAAACGAACATGAAATATATCCAAAAGTAAAAGAATCGAAATCGAGTCCGTAGGGTAACGAGATCCTCGCCATGTACTCAAGAAAAAAAAAGGCACTGTGCATAAATGCAGCACAAAAAAAAGACTTCCCAAGATGGACTCATGGAACTCCACTGGATTCAGCACATACTGAATGCTAGGTCTGAAAGGGGACTTAGCAGGTGAACTTAATAATTTCCATGCCCTACAAAATGCATGAGGTGATGAAGGGAACAGGGGTGATGTGCCGTCAGGGCTCCTTGCCGCTCATCTGAATGCATCATGGTGTTGATTTCATGCAAACGAGGCTCCAGCATAACAAGTGCGGAGGATGAAGAGGTGCAATGAATAGGTAGGCTACTGGGAAAAGAGATCAATCTCAAAGGTACCTGTAGTCCTCGACATTATTCGTGGCCATTATAGGATTGGAGACCTTGTAATAGACCACGGCATCTACGCTCACTGTCACTGAATCTCGAGAAAGAACCTAAAAATATCCACAGAGTTATCAGTTGTGTCCACGAAGAATGGATTTAATTGCCATTCTGCAGAGGGCAGAACGTGAAATGAATTTGTTGCTCTTGCGAAATTATGCAAAACGGTGAATGGCTTATCTTTAGAGGCAGGTATAATTGAGGAGATTAAAGCCCAGCCTAGCGAGAGATAGATCAGAAAATGAGCTATTTCACAACGGCTGCGTCATGCACGTGGAGAACTAGAAATAGGGGGAAGTTGGGAGTGACAAAACAAGATTTATTGAACCCGTTCGGCTGAATAAAGGCTAAAGGGTTGACGCTTTGGGCTTCCTTCTCCCTTTTTCAATAACTAATGGAGTAGGCCTCTCTCTCGGCGGAAAATGACACCGAAGCACGTAAGGGCCCCCCGATCTCTTTCATGTGCATGCAAACAAGGGAGCTGCCTCATTCTTTTTCCTTATAAAAAAAAATCTCAATCCCATCAAAGAGATTCGCTCGCTCGCTCGCTTGCTCGTTCGCTCTCTCTTCCCCCCGCTCTTCCTTTCGAGGTGAGCAGTTACAGACGGAGGCAGGGAAACAGAAAACCCTGGAGAGAAAGGAGAAAGATAGGGCACGTTTGCTCATCACTCAGCCGATCACGTTCGGCGGGAATGGGGAAGACTAGGGCCATCTCGCGACAGAATCCTTTCTTTTCTGAGATACGCCATTAGAAGCATGGAGGTTCCTTCTACGATTCGGATTTGGGGTCGTCATTATGAGCCCAAGCCTTCCGGATCAATAATCACTCTCTCAAGGATTCATCTATCTTTTTTTCGCTCGTCTTCCTCTTCTGGGAAATTAAGGGCAAGTGCGACGTATTCAAATAGCCAATTTTTTCTATTTTGTTTCAAGTGAACCATTATTACGTGTTTGGATCGGAAAGGAAGAAAATGAAGGAAATGAAGGAAAGCATTACGTAACTGTCCTAGGCATTGAGATTTTATGCCCACGAGGCAGATGCTTTTTCAAGACCAGAGTGGGCACACTGAAGGATTTTTCGCCATACGAACTCGGGTCGGGGTTCGTGGAAACTGAGTGTCAGGCAAAAACTCATATAGTTCATGTTAGCGTGGAACAAATTCATTTTTGAATTATGCAATTACAGTTTTATATCCATTATAATTATCCAAAATAATTTTGCCCCGTTTTACATTTACTTCAACAACAATTATCCCAAAAGAATGACAAGATTGCAATCCATGTCAGTGGAAGCCTAATGATATGCAGCTTGCTTCAGAGGCTTTCAAGTCTTGCGCTGTACGTGAAATGCAAATGGTTGCTGTTCACCTTAAGGCAGGGCGGAATCCGAGACGAACCAACCTGTTGCGTGCGCCATATGAATGTTGCTGTACAATTGCAATCGAACGAAAGAGCTCCGGGAATGGATAGTATATCTTGCGAACATTACCCTAGAGCCCCACAGATCACTTAATGTGAGTTCTGAATTTTTATCTTGTTACCCGCAGAATAACGGTTTGAAGGAGCATTACTTTCCCAGAGAGGCTCCCGGCTATTTGAGTCGTTCAATCCCCTGAAATGTGTCTCGAGAGCACAAAGAAAGACAATCCATATCTCTCAACGCGAACAGGTCACGACAAGCTGAACGGGCAGCCATGTTACATGACGTCAATAAAGCCGCGAATGTCCTTAATCATTGCAGCCAATAGAGGATTCCATCTTCATCCTCATATGTCCCACAGAAAATGGTCTCCATACATCAAAGACATTGTCCAAGGAATTAATTGGATCCATATCCCCTTCCGGTGATCCGTGCTTCATCATCGCTAAACCAAAGGCTTCATCAATCCGGAGAATCTACGACTCAAAAGCCTCTCCAAAACAGGTCGGACAGGATTTGCAACCTGGGATTTCTCGAGAATGAAGAACGAGAGAAGAGCTCTCGAGAAGCATTGCAGGTCTCTTTCAGACCCTTCAACAAAGATAGGAGGGGATGGAAAGGGCTTTGAATAAAATAGAACCATCTTACCTCCTGAGGAGGAACATCAAAAGACACCGTTCGGAGATCCACTTTTCGATATGTATCGATGCAGGGCACAATGAAGAAGATGCCTGGTCCTTTCGCACCTCCCTTAAGGAGGCGACCTAGCCTGAAAATTACCGCACGCTCGTACTCTTGCACCACCTATGAAACGAGATACGATCATTATGTCTCAATCGGGGCAATCATATCACGTGTCCATCTCTGCGAGTAATGAGAGGAAGAAATCGAGAGGAAAACGGAGAGAGAGAAAACAAAGCAAAAGAAGAAAGGAAGTCGGCAAAAGCTCGCATAAATAGGACGGAAAGAGCCTTTGTTTGCTTTCGAAGTTCATCCATTACTCTGCAGGCAAGAAGCCATTATGGACTGGGGAGGGAAGAAGAAAGACGGCAGTGTCGTCATTGTAAGATCCGGAAAAGAGGGGGGTTGGAAGAGACACTAAGAGAGAGAGCGAGAGAGAGAGAGAAAGAGAGAGGGAGAAGATCCGACTGATTCTTCGTTGAATGAGGAATTCCAATTTCAAGGGAATAACTGTAGCCTGCGAGTCGACCGTTCGATCGTACTCCCCGGTCGCGCGGGATAGCTCGCATCCCGGGCTCTCACATCTCGTCAAGGTCGGTAAGTGACAATTAAAAAAATAATAATATTGATATACAGTCGTCCCTCGCCACTTCGCGCTTCGACTTTCACGGCTTCACTCTATCGCGGTTTTTTCAAATACCTGTATATTGGGTAATACGAGTGTAATGGTGACTAAAGAGTGTTATTTCATGTCTAGAGGGCTCTAATAGACATGAAATAACACTCTTTAGTCACCATTACACTCGTATTACCCAATATACAGGTATTTGAAAAAACCGCGATAGAGTGAAGCCGCAAAAGTCGAAGCGCGAAGTGGTGAGGGACGACTGTATGGCAAAAATTTAAGGAAGGTATTTTTGGGGGGGTTTGAACTCCATGAACACCCCCCCCCCCCCCCCCTAAATACGGCCTTGAATGTGTGACTGATTTCCTAGTTCAAGGTCTCGTACATGACCTCCTGTTTGGATTCACGTCAGGCCAATCTGCCTTAGATATATTAGGTTTTCACTAGCATTGCATCTCATTAGCCTATAATGACCTGATTGTTTACAGGATTGACATGTGCACTCTAGCTTTTTCCAAGGTTTATGACAAACTATCTCATGTCATCTTGCACATGAGACAAGGTAATCTTTATGATATACAAGAGGCAGTCAAAGGAAACTGAGACATTCTTGGTCGTTGCTTCTAACACACATGTCCCATTTTCATTAGACTGCCCCTTCGTATATGGGGTCCTCTCTCAAACAAATCAAGTCCCTCCAGATTGACCATTCTGAATATGTTTCATTCTCATATAGGATCTCTCATACAGTCAATGTTCTCTCTATAGTGCCGCAAGGCTTAGTTTTAATTTCCACTACAACAATGACTCATCGAGACCAATAGAAACTTCTTAGATGAGGCCTGTCTGCTGATGAGGTCAACCGTTTGAAACTAAAGTTTTGGTGTAGAACCAATTTTGCTTCCTTGAACTTCTCCAAGCTCGTGTTGTCTTGTATTTATCAAACTATGTCACAGACTTATTGTACCTGCACTATAAATTTGGTGTAAATCTTTTCAAATCCAAGCCCTGTAGGCAACTGAATTCTAATTACTAACCACTTCTGAAAGATCACATACATTCAATATGCTATGAATTTTGACACATCCTTTGGGTGTTCTGCCTTACTTTTAGAGATTGTGTTTAGTCACCATTACACTCGTATTACCCAATATACAGGTATTTGAAAAAACCGCGATAGAGTGAAGCCGCGAAAGTCGAAGCGCGAAGTGGCGAGGGACGACTGTACATAAATAAATATAAATATAAAAACAGCCTGTCTTCTATTTTAATCATACGCGGCTGCGTCTCTGTTCAGAATTTGAAATAAGCAAGGAAAAGGGTAAAATACTTCCAGACTGAACTTGGAAGTTTGACGAGATGGACTTGCATAGGGCAAGAGTGAAACACTTTTAGAATTCCTGGAATCCTGCTGTCAAATTGCCAGGAGACTTTAAGCCTGACCTCCAAATAGCTCAAAACCATAAAACAAAGTTTGGAATAAATAAAAGCCAATGCAGGAAGGCACCGCACTTGCGCATTCCTACGTCTCCTCTACCCTTCTCTCTCTCCTCTTCCTCTCATGAACTGTCTCCTAGCTCTGACTGACCTCGTTCTCCAGCCATTATTCTACGGCCTCAAAATCGATCAAGCCCTGCCATGATGCTTGTGCGGGGAATCCTTAGCGGAAACCATCTTTTCCCTTACAAAAGTCTCTTTTTCATCATGGATAAGCTAAATCGGTTTCATATTAGGGATGAGAAATGCTTCTACCCATTGCTTTGAGGTTTAAAGCAGATTTCGAAGGCACATTCACTGTACGGGTCTCTAGCTCGTTACTATAGAGAGAACCTGATGACTTCGAGCATCTATAGTTTCGGACCAGAGACAAGTTAAACCCTCACGCAAAGGATGGAGAAACGGAAGCGATTCATCTTAACCTAGGTGATCAATAGTCATTGAGGCTTACCTTGATGCAATAAGACAGAGAGAGAGGGAATGTGATCATGATGAGTATGTAGGAGCAAAAAGTGAGAAGCGCTGCACACACTCCAACTTCATCTTCGGATGCTGAAAGAATGAAAGGAGGAAAAATGCGATAGAATAGTCTTTTAATTAAGTCTTCCGACTTTTAATTTTTAATTATCTAACGGAGCAAAAGTTTGCTCCTATGCAGCCCTTGCATATTTTCCCGCCCTCAAATAAACAGTACTCTCTCTTTCTCCCTTAATCGAGGGCAGGGCAAAAGAAGATGTATAGCAGAGCAAATGTTTAGGATATGAGAGATGAGTGGAAAGTTCAAAGGTTCACTATAATTTTCATGAGTTTATACAAATATTTATTGCAGATAAATAAAAAAGAAAGCTTAGGTTTAGAGTGTGAGGAGCAGGTCAGCAGGTTGCATTTTACCTTGATTACCAGAGTTGGATATCTGGACGAAGGGTTTGAGGTCGAATCTGCGATCAGAGAAGGGAAAGGACAGGGAAGACGGGGTGACTGGTGGTGGGGGAGCTCGATAATGCTGAGCCTGGCTCATAGAAGTAGCTCCTTCTGGGATCTGGGAATGGGAGGCAAGAGAAGGGAGATGCGAGGGGGGAGAAGGAATAGTCACATTATAATGGTGATGAGGCTGATGACGATGCCCATCGTGCAACGTTTCTGGCAATTGCTTTTTCTCTTCGCTTGACCCTTCACCATCCATACCTTTCTCAGGGTCTAGAAGGCCATATCTACATGGATTCCTGCAAGCCTATTCCCATGTGTAACATAGGGGCTATGGGGAAAAAGAGCAAAGGAAAACACAAGTCCATCGAAGGCTAACGGGTAAATTCAATGGAGCCGGAGGCGAAGATCAGCAGAAGATAATCAACAGGCAAGCGCTGGAGGGGGGAGGGGTCGAGGATATGGAAGAGAAAGGGGGAGGAAGACCGTCAGGAGGACGTGATGAGAATGAAGACTCATTCGAATGGACACCACTATGGCAGCGTCAACAAAATATACAGCATCCGAAGAGAGGGGGAGACTGAGAGAGATGTCTTTTGGGAAATCCTTTTCTTCCTTCCTGTCTTTCTACGAACCATAGACCGCCTAAGAGGACTTTCATGGGGTTGCCAAGAAAAATAGGTCTCACAGGAGAGAGAGAGGGAGAGGGAGAGAGAGAGAGAGGAGGGAGAGACAGGAGCCCATATCATACCAATACTCATCACCCAAACCAAAATGACGTCACAGCGGTGACAGCTTCTTCCCATTTGCAAATTTTTCGCTTCTCCCGAACCTCTCTCTGCCTTCAAATTTTGATTAACAACCCATTTGTACTGATGTCTCCAGTGAAAGAACATGATTAATCGTTGAAATCTCAGGTGAAGAATAGATAGGCCTGAAACAGTAGATGGAAATTTATTATGGGCTGAAATCAATATATGGTTCCATAGATGGTGTGCGAGATGAAAGCCATCGATTCCCTACCGCTTTCCACAAGGGAAGTTAGAGAACGGCACAGCTGAACTTTGAGAGACTTGGGAAGGATGTTCATAAAAGACGGACACGGATAAAAGACACCATGATTATAAAAGCATTCAACTGATTAAATTATCCATCATCTCCTTACCCACCGGATAGGCTTTACTTACGATGAAAATCCTGAGTAAATTACAGAGCATTTATCAGAGTATGTTTCAATCTTCATAATGGCAAGGCTCCCGTTTCCATGTTCCCAGAGGTGGGAAACCCGGCGTCAAATCAACATTAAAATTTAAAAAAGACTAGTACAAATTTGAAAATATTCAAGTAGTCCAATCGCATGCGAATAATGATATATATCATGAAATCATTGTCATGATTGGATGAATAACTTGAATTGCGATCATTGAGAATACTCGACTTGTGTCCTCATCACACGCGCATCTTGTTTCCTGCTTGTTTAGACTGTAAATTGCAATTTCATTATCCTCAAATCTCAAATGAAATTACTTATCACAAATCAAATCATTCCTTAACATAATTCGCAAAATTTGATGCAGATCAAATTTTACGGTGGGAGTTAAACCAAATTATGATTTGATTTTTCCTATCTCAGCAGGGTCCGTAATGAGGTCAAAGACCAAATTTGTCCCTGCTGATATACAGTACATTCATTTCATGCACTGTTTCCCTCCGAAGAATATGCAGCCCACATTGAGGGTTGCACCAATCTGCAGTAATATGCACTGCGAGTCAATTGAATTATATATTTTATATTTCTCGATTAAAAGTGGCTCAAAAGAGTTCAAAAGACTTGGATGCATTTTTTGGTGAAATAAATGATAGGCAATTAGTTTCAACTTATTTACAATTCTGCAGAATAGTAAATTAAGAACATTTATTCTTTTTTGGCACATTTTAATAACAGGTAACTGCAGAATTCTTCAAATACCGAAAATACACTTCCACTTCCACAATCCACTTCAATTGACGCGCAGTGTATTTGGAGACCAAATTTTCGGTGCATGATTGGGGTCAGCATCTAACTGGATATCAAGTAACCTCATCTCCATCTGTCACTGAAAATTTTTTTTTTGGTGTATACAGAGATGCGTTCATACCTCAAGCACAGACTCTGAATGAACCAGAAAATGCATGTCATTTCTAAACAAATACGAAGCAAAAATTCGGCAAGACATCATTGTGACGGAGAACAATCAGCTTCATCCTTCTCGAGGATCATTTAGAGAATGAGAAAAACTCATCACCCTACGTCTCTCATTCTCGCTCTCATTTGGTTATGGGAGCCAGCTCAGCATGCAAGGAGCCTCATTGAGCTCTACTTCCCAGGGGAAACTTAGTATGGAGGGCAATGTAATTTAGAGCCGGCTCTAGGCCTACAAAAAGGGTCAACGGGCGCATGACTATACTCAGCCCCGAAGGGAACACATGCAAAAGAGGCAAAGCTTCTATCGACACAATCACTGCAAAATTTCATTCGCTCTCGAAAGGCTCATAGCTGAATGTGATTTCGGAGTCGGAACCAGGCGTGTGCAAAATCAAATCATAATCCGATTTACATCTGCTTTAAATCACATTTTGGTATCTGACTTGCATTGTGTCTATCGGTAAAGCAAATTAATGAGTAGCTTAATAGGCAAAGTGTACGTGCATATTAAAACTTAGACTTTTGTAATATTATGATCGAAAGCACAAAACACATCGCTATATTGGATGCGCCGGCTAGAGTAACTTGCATAGTTTCCATATAGCTTGAGCAATTTAGCCCATATAGTAAAAGGCATGAATCATAACATCAACATGGATTTGATTCATTCCCGTGATTTCGTCATTTCATTCAGACCCTAGTTTGTGATCGGAACTATTTGATTTCTAGTTTTCGAACATAAATGTAATTTAGCCAATTCTGGCAGTGACAAAAAGACGACGGTGAAGGTCAGGATCACACGAGAATAACTCCGCGAATCCCAAGGAATGAGTTGGGACAGGTTGAGAAGGACGCTCCGTCAATCCACAAGACAGATACACTGCGAGAACGACAGCAACAAGAAGAAAGATCGCCAGGTGGGAAGGGAAAGACTCTACAGACACCACATTTTACTCCGAAGAAGTTACAGACTGGAAAGATCTCAAGATGAATTCCTCATCACGTTATCTTTAGCCATTAGCGTCTGTGCCCCTCTCCCATTGAAATGTCAGTTTCAGACACACCTCTCTCCCATCTTGCAAGAGACTATTTTGGTATCCCGGGGTTCTCACATATATGCGTCATTACCAGAAGGAGAAACCACAATAAGGAATTGACGTAAGAGGCTCGTTCCATCACGAGGCATACATAGAGGTTCTTGGATCCATCCAGGGCAAAAAGAAGGGATTCGGTTTGTCAAAATGAACCAAGGGCCAATAATCCCGTCTTCAAGGCAGATATGACAAGGACATGCCAGTGTGATGGGATCATGAACCATGAAAGGAGCAGGAGAGACTTGAGCGTTCATAAAGGGAACGCCAAGGAGAGAATAGAACATCACGATAAACCCCCAAATACAACCTATGATGGAAGAAAAACAAGCACTGAACATGGTTTATTACCGTTGGCGTCCTGCCGTTTGAGAAACCTCTTTTCCAGAGAAGAGGGAAGCTTCCAACGAATGTCTATCATTTTTTGCAATTCCCATGAAAACGGGACATTCATTCGAAATTGAAGGTTAGAATGGAGTTGAAAATCGATGGTGGTGAAATTCGGTGGCGCAACGTTCAGCTGCTACCTTGATCATTTGGCTCCGACACAAAGGCTGTCAACATTCTCCCCTTCCTTCTACATGGATACTATTCCTGGAGAGAATGGCAGAGTTTTCCGAGACTACTGCGGAACGAAGAGACTGAAGAAAGAGCTCTCTGACATTAACATGTCCACATTCCCCGAGATAACATTTCCAGTGAACTCTTGACACGCTTGCCCCACCTGTAAAATACGCGTTATTCTCCTCAATCTATCTTCAACGGCGTTCCCGAAGCGTCACTGTGCAGGATTGAAACCAGCCTACATTCCTTCCTATCTTTTTTTTTTTAACTTGCTCGCTTGCTCCATTACCTTAGTCTTATGCAGGATCCTGCTACATGAAATGCAACTCAGGTAAGTGTGCATTTAGATTATGCAGATGGGTGACGTACTCTAAAATTCCTCGCTGGGTTGTGAATTTTTCATCTGACGCGAGTCTGCTGCATATGCACTAGAGCCTATAAATTTTTTAAAAACATCTTTCCGATCAATAACTGTGTGCCCATGTAATAATCATAGTTCTTGCCTTGTCCTTCCATCAATCACTGCCTCTAATCATAAGAATTCATCCTTCATATAAAACATATATACAATCACATCCATGACAATTATACTGCCCATGGTGTCTGGTGAAGTTGAACATATTTACAATAGGTAAGAGGGATCATGCAATCAGCATGAGATCTATCACATCATTCACAAAATCCATAATTTTTGCTTAAAATCAGTGGCGTTAGAATGAAAGTAGATGTACAAAATATTTTTCCTGTACAGAAAACGCTAAACGAAAGGTCATTCGACTATAACTGCAATATAAAAATAAATGCTTATTTATTTATTTTTAAATGTTTATAATCAATCAGTTCCCCAAAAAGGAAACGGTCCTAAGATTGCGCAAAATATTTTTAAAAAATATATAGAAAATGCAAAACCAATTTTAATTTTTCCCAGCTCAAGCGCTCTCCCTACATCCCATCCCTTACTATAATCCTGCCGATGAAACGGAAGACCCATCATGACTTTTTGCGTCTCGCAGTGTCCTCTTCCGAAAGGAGCTATGAGATGTGCGTAAAAAAAAGTCCCACCATGAATCTTTGGGACCTGACAAAAAAAAGTAAATATGCGATGCAGAAACGAAGAGGATGAGATGATGTAAAAGTTGAATGGAAAAGGAATGACAGATCCAAAGAAGGAGGGAGGAAAATGGATCGAGAGGGCTTTGCCAATCAAGTTCCCTGTTACCATTCTATCAAGTTCCCTGCTACCATTCTTCAACCCGCTTCCTCGCGGCGATCGAGTTTTCTTCTTTCGATCAACGCCTTCTCGCATTTCCTTTTACTTTCAGGCCCATTTCACATGAATCGAGTCTTTTGTAGCCTCATCAGTGTGAATTATAGAAGCCTCTCCCGAACGAATTCCCCCCTCCCCCTCCCCTCCTTCTTTCACGCCTACTTCTCTTTCAGACCAGCCTGATAAGCCCAATTACGAAAGACGATGAGACGAAGGGGGAAGGAACTCGGGATTTCCAGGAGAGGGAAGTCGATAAAAGGGAAACAAATAAGCAATGAAGTTGCGGTGGAACGGAAGCGCGAAACAAGTTCACTCTCCTCTCCGCCTTCACTTTAAAGAACACCAAGATCCAAATTGCATTCTCACAACCGGACTTGATTAGGCACACACGGGACTCGACTCCACTCCGACCGCAACTGTAGTGCAAAAACGCAGCAGCCGACTGAGACTGAGGGAAGGGGGAAGGGACCTTCGAGGCGCTTACGCTGTCAAAGGTGGCATTCTTTTTTTTTCTTTTTTCTGCGTCTCTCTCGCCCTCCCTCTGCCTCAGCGACAGCTTCGCATCGGAAGCGCGCCTCGGCACTGGCTGGATATCTGAGCATGGAAGATTTGGCAACGAAGATTCTAGCTGTGCCATTCCCTGTCTCTAGTGACCTGTTACGTGCATTTGATAGATTGCACTTCAACGACACCCACGAAAAAAAGGAAGTTTTTAACGTACAAGGCATGAAGAGGTATTTCCACGCCCCTCTCCCCTTAATGACAACGGCGACTAATTTAGACCTCGATGCTTCACAGGTCATTACAGGAGCCAACTCCGGGAGTATAACGAGGTGTCATCCGACGATCTACATCAGTTGCCACTGGCAGAATTGAAGTTCAGACGTTTCTGATGCTTCGGAAGGTAAATGAATTTCCATGATGGAAACAGGTATGAGTTACGTTGTGGTGATGGTTTCGAGCACGAAGGAGGTAGGGTGGGGTGGAATGAAATACAGCGCACTCATGGGCTTCGGAAAAATGGAAACGAATGAAGAGCAGTGCAGCTGCGTCTCTCACTGTCACCCGCTTAGTCGATCGGAATCTGTGTCAAATGCAGGCAGCATCTGCAGCCCATCCGTAAAATAAAAAAAGAAACCTTTTCTCCATCTTCAGAGAGACGACCATCTTCCTTCCTCGGGGACGAGATGGAAAGCGGAACAGGAAGGAAGGAAGGAGAAGTGGGAGGTTGCCAACTTTCGTTGCTGCGGCAATACGTTCCGAATCTCCAAGGGATCAGAGCCATGGCGAATAAGCCCCTTCTGCGAGTTGGGAGTCTGAGCCCTAGCATCGGATATCAGTCTGCTGGTGTGATATGGTGTGATATACTTCGTATATCACACCAGGAGGAATTCGCAGACTTCCTTCGGAACATCAATTTCAAGCCGAACAAGTCACAACGCTCCAGAAGCACCGACATGTTGGATGAGAAATATACACGGCATATGGAGAACAATAATGAAGCCCTCTGAAGTTTTCATCAATATTTTTTCAAAATGAATCAAACTTGACATGGATGGCTTAATATATGCAAAAAAATGCATAACTTTTCGGTCTCAGAACTTTTTCTGTCACTGAATTGCTTCAACGTAATCAGTGATGCGTGTAACCAAGGTCGCATTGTCTACGGCTCAGAGTAGAATTGAGAGCTTTCAGGGGCTTTTTTTTTTCAAGAGCTTCCTGAAAAAAAAACCCTGAAATGTCTCTCCATTTTTCCAGTACTCCTAGGGAATGAAGAACTAACTCGAAACTTTCTGACCCGCGAAGGCTCTGAGGCTTGTCTGACTTGACCATCATGGTTTAAGAATTCATTGGACTCGATTTTGCCCTTTAATGCAAAGCAGTACCCTCCGATGTGAAGCATCAAAGGCGTCATCACGCTATCGAATTAGGCCTAATTTTGAAGGTCCCTCATACATGAGAAAACAGGCGAGAGTATCGAGCGAGTCTAATGATGTTGCATGATGAACGAGGTTCATACAGCGCAGCAGGCACTGGGAAACACCAGTTTGGGATTGACAATACCATGCATCATATTCGCGCATTGCTGTTAATGAATCCTCTACTTTGAAACGAACAAACCAGTGCTCCGTGGGGAAAACAGTTCCCGGGAACCTCATGCCCAATTTCCTTTCATCTTCGCGTGCATAATGCGGAAACACCCCACCGACATCTGCAAGATTTACAAGCCCTCACAAGACCCCTCCTCCTAGTCAGAAACCATCAACCCCTCATCTCTCAAACCCATCATAATTCATGCCACGGTCTTCATGGGTATCTTTGAAATATTGTCGTCTGAGAAGTCCTCTTGCGCTTTGAAATCTTTCCTGTTTCTCATGTCACTCGAGACCACTCTCAGAATTAAAATAAATTACAATTAACGGACGTAATAACTAAGGCTTCCTTTCACATGCGGGAAATCAGCTCCTCAAGAGTTCCGTTGTTAGTCACTTACAATCTTAGAGAATTCATCGCCAGTCTCTCGCAG